TCACCGGGGGCGGGGCCTGGGTCAGAGGCATCAGCCAGGGCAGAGACAGAGACAGCAGGTGCTGGGGCCGTAAGTCCGTGCCGCTGCGCCTGCATCTCCAGCTCCTGTGAAGGGGAGGAGAACGAGGGTGGGATCAGGGAACTCCGGCCACACCCCTATTTAACCACACCCATGCCATACTATGAGCTCAGCTCTTGAGGCTAGGACCCACACACCCAGTCCCAGGTTTCTCCCGCCCTTGGCAGCCCAGCCCACCTGCAGCTCCCTCTCCAGCCCTGCTCCTTCACTTTCAGGTAGTTAGCCCCACCCTCTCAGTCCAGCCTCTCGTCTCCAGAGCCAATTGGCTCTGCCCCCCCCTTAGCCCTGCCCCCAGCCCAATGACTCCACCCCTTCTCCTGGCCCCGCCCTTCTGGGCTTCTGCCCCTTGGCCCCAACCCTTCCCCATCTCTAGGCCCCACCCCTTTGGCCTCTGCCTCAGTCCAGTCCTGTGGTTCTACCCATTTCCACTCGCCCCACCTCTGCCTCCAGGCCTCACCACCCTGGGCTCTGCTAGCCCTGCCCCCCCGCCGCATGGCTCCGCCCATTAGTCCCAAACCCCAGGCCCACATACCTGAACTCGCAGCTGCAGGCTGCGGTTGGCAGCCTCGAGGCGGCGCTGGCGCAGCTCCAGCTCCCGTGCCCGGTGCTGCTCGCGCTGCAGCTTGCGGATATAGTCCACCGAGGCCTTGAGGATCGTGCCCTTGTTCCAGCGCATTTCCCTGTGGGGAGAAGGCAGGTGCATGAACTCCCTCCTGGAGGGCAGGGGGCACGATGCCTGAGTTCCTCATTGAGGTGAGGGAAGAGTAGGATGCCAGGGTTTTCTTCTGAGGGAGGAGAGAGCAGGACTCCTGGGTTCTCCCCTGGGTGGGGAGGGATGCTAGATGCCTGGGTTTTTCATGTGGGAGGGGTCAGGACGCCTAGGTTCCCTCCTGGGAAGGAGAAGTGCAAGATGCCTGGATTCCCTCGTTGTGGGGGCAAGGAAAGAGCAGGACCCTAGATTCCATCCTTGTGGAGTTGGGAGCCTGGGTCCCTGCATTTCCCCCACTCCCTGCCCACACTTACGGGTCATTGGACTTGGGGATGAGGGTCCCGAGTTCCTTGATCCGGTCATTGATGTTGAACCGTCGCCGCCGCTCAACTGGGGGGCAGGGCGGGGGCATCAGGCTGGGGTCCCCCAAACTCCCAGAGCATCCTCCAACCCCCCTTTTAATACAACTAAGCCCCCCTGGGGTCCCTCTTCCCCCCAAGCCCCTCTCAGCTACATCTGTGCCCCCCAAACTCCTGGTGCCCCCAACCCTGCATCCCCTCAGCCCCACCAAGGGATCCCCTAATCTCCTCCACCAGCTTCAGGCTCCCATGGACCGCCCCCACCGCCCTCCCAGGGTCCCCTAACCCCCCCAACCAGCTTCAAACCCCAAACTCCCTTAACACCACCCAAGATCCCCACCAACTCCCTTAGGGCCCCCAACCCCATCCAGGTCTCCCCCCCACAACCGCCCAAGTTCAGGGGCCCCTCAAATGCAAGACCCCCTCACGCACTCAGGTTGTGGTTGTCCTTCTTCTGCCTTTCCTTGAGCAGCGCCTTGGCCTCTGTCTCTGGGGGGGGTATAGCCGTGAGACACCCCCCACAGCAGGGGGTCAGGGCTAGGACAGGTCCCACACCCCCTGGGATCCCACCCCTACAGCCCCTTCCCCAAGGAGTTTCAGGACCCTTAGGTTCTATTCACAAGGGGTGGGGAGGGACCAGGACACCTGGGTTCCTGCCCCTAGGACAGCCAGTACCCTGAGTTTTTTCAATGAAAGGCAGGGCTAGGATGCCTGGTTTCTACTCCTTGGGAGACCCTCCCACACTGTACCCACCCCTTAGAGGACCCTAGGGGTCTTTGCTTCTCAGAGCCCCCAGCTCCCTGCCCCCAGCTTATGCCAAGCCCTCCAGAGCCTCCTAAAGGCCCCCCTACCCCCAGCTTCTTCCACCTAGTGCCCCCAAGAGGCCTCTCCCCCCAGCTCCCTGCACCCCCAACTTTTGGCTCCCCCGCAGGGCAGGTACCTGAGAGCTCAGCCTTGATGTGGGGCAGCTCGGCAGGGCAGGAGTTGCTGACGGGGCCCCCAGGCACCTCCCCAGGGCCCGGGCTGCGGTAAACCTCCAGCAGATTGCCAGCCACTGGCAGCTGAACAACATGAAAGTGGTTAGCTGGGGGCAGGGAATCCAGGACCCAGGCCACACCCCCTCCATTCTTGTTAGAGGCAGGGCTGGCCAGGCCACACCCCCTATTCCCACCTCCTGTCCACTGGCAACTGGCTATCCAGGGGCTTGATAGAGGGGGTGGAGCCTCCTGGAACCAGGCCACCTCTCCCTACCTGATTGGTGGGGGGGCCGGCCAGGCCACATTTCCCCCACCTCCACATAGGTATAGCCCTCCCCCTCCTCCTATGGGCCTTAAAGGGGTGGTGTTCCAGGATATAACTATCCCTTTTAAAGGAAAAGAATTCAGACTCAAGGTAAACCACTGCCCATATGGGTCTTAAAGGGACAGTGTCCCATCTAATACTCCCTTCCCCCCACTCCCAACATACCAGCCTTAAAGGGGTGGTGCCCAAGCTAATACTTCCTTAGTGTTAAAGAGATGGTGTCATGGCTAGCTCCATCCCCTTCATTGCGCTTGAAGAGCCAATTTCCCCACTTCCATGGCTTCCCTCTCCCCTGACCTCCAGCCTGTCTTGTTCCCCTCACCGTGCTGGGCAGCTGCAAGCCCCCATCCACAGGCATGTAGTTCAGCATCTCATCGTTATAGCTCGACTCAAGGCTGATGATCTCGTCTATGACATCATCAATCTGGAGGTGGGAACAAAAGTACGCATGTGTTGAGGGAGTAGGTTGGGGTTCATTCATACGAGGGCACGTGTTTGTATGCACAAATATGTACACACAAGTCCGGGACACACACACGTCTGTCCTAGACACCTAGGGTTCCATGTCTGCGTATGCATGTGTATATGGCCTGGACACGTGTGTGTGTGTGTGTGTGTATGTCCAGCCATTGTGTGTATATGTGAGAGAATCTCAGGTGCTGGGGTTGTGTGTGTGTGTGTGTGCGCGCATGCGCGCGCGCGCGCACACACACACACACACATACACACACACACACACGTTCCTGCTGTCCCCTTGCTGGAACCTCAGTGCTACAGCGTGTTGTGGGAGGAGATGAAGTCAGAGTACGGGGCAGGAAAAAGGGGCGATGGGGATGTAGTGGCAGGAGGGGTTTAGAGGGGTACAACCAGAAAGCAGGGGGTGGGGCCAGAAACCAAAGAGACAGG